CGGGGCTAACTGCAAAAGTTGTGAGTAGTGGGTGTTACTGATCAGAAACATGGTTTGACTCCACATTGCCTTCCGTGTATAGTGAAACCCTCACAGTTCTATATGTCTCTGATTTTTGTTATAACCAAATTATGATGATGAGTGCACTTTCACATGTTATCTCATTAATACTTGCAAGTGCCCTCTATTAGGCCATATTATCTTACATTTTAGAGGGAAGGAAACTGAGTCTCAAGGTTAGTTTTTGTCTGCAGAGCTGTGTCCTGACCTATGCCCCTCTAACCCATGTCCTGTGCACTGTTATGTCACATTATTGCCCGATTAGTCCGCTGTGACCTCTCATGGTTGATGGTTTTTGTTTCCATGTGGGCAGAGATATCCAGCAGGAGGCTTTTCGGGCCAGTCACGCTCACTGGCGGGGCTTCTCCTTTGTCTACAATCACTACCTGTTCTCCGGCTGCTTCCTGGTGGTCCTGCTCTCCATCCTCCTCTACCTGCTGCGGCTCCGGCGCATTCACAGGCGGATGCTGCGCAGTGGGGCAGCCGCCACCCACTGGCTGGAGGAGGGCCTTCCGGCCCAGAAGATTGCAGGAACCTTGTGAACAGGAACAGGAGTGAGCGCCCAGGAAGACCTTCTAAAGGAAAAGCCATTTTTGCCTCAGGGTTTCTTCTCTTTATCTTTGTTTTATTTTTCCCTTCCCTTTTTGGTCCTTGAAACAAAAACAAAATCCATTGTGTGTAAACTCTGCTGTCCTGGAAGATTGCATTTGCCACTGTTTGGTACACAGCTTTAAATTGAGGAGTAGGGAAAAGGGAAAATCACTTCATACTTGCTATATAGGACATCTGCCAAAAATTATGGAGATTTTTGGTTTTTCTTTAAGGTATGTTTAATTTTAAACAGATGCACTTTGATAGTGGAGGGAAATGGCAAAGGTGTTTTCTATGGTGAAGATGGGACTGAAGAGTGAGACTTTTACAGAACCCAGAACCTACTGAATGAAATTAAAATGCTTTTCCCTCTATCTTGAAAGCTCTAACCTAAAGAGGGTGATGTTTAGTTTTTATTTATTGTTTAGGTCTGTCACTATGTTTTCTTTGCAGGTTCAAAAAATCAAAATCTAAAATAGAGAAATATAATATCCAAAATTGAGAAAACTAGTTCCCAGGAGATAACTATTTTTAAAATTTATAGTGAAAAGACCTGAAAAATGTGAAATAATTACTAAGAGTGCTGTGTGTGTGTGTGTGTGTGTGTGCGCGCGCGCATGTGAAAAAAATGCTAAGGAAAGAGAATGAGGAATACAGTGCTCTTTTGGAAACACACACTTCAAAATTTACTGTTTCATTTTATTTTATTTAGAAAAATCCCCATTACTATTATCTTTTTCTGACCATAGGTAATTACTTTCTTTATCCCATTTTCCAGTGGCCTTAGAATACCGGGGCTTTGAAAGAGTTGGAAAATTTGTAGTTTCACTGGTTTTGATGTTACTAGAAATTGAGCTGGTGCCAACGGACAGGTACGCCAGTATTTTTTTTATATATATATTTTTATTGACTTCAGAGAGGGAGAGAGAGAAACGCCAATGATGACAATGATGAGAGAGAATCATTGATTGGCTGCCTCCTACACTTTCTCTACTGAGGGTCTTGCCTGCAACCTGGGCATGTGCCCTGATCTGGAATCGAACTATGACCTCCTGGTTCATAGGTCAACACTCAACCACTGAGCCACACTGGCTGGGCCCGCCAGCATTTCTTAGTAGTGCATCTTTGCTTGTTTAATTGTGCTCACGTTTCTTCCAACTTAAGTTGGTATTCCCCTCTTAATTAAACGTTGTCTCTGCAGTTTTATTCTGAAGACCCCATACTTAACTTGATAACTTCTCTTTATTACTGTTGGGGTTAAGGCTGCATTGGCAATGCTACTATAAATCCACATTTTGAAGAAAACAAGTCTGATAATTTTAAATAGAAATCTAAAAAAGACAACTGGATTGGCATATGTGAGATCAGTTGTTTTTTACCAATTCATTGAGTTTGGAACCATTGGGAATGCTTAGATTTTTTAGTTGAATTACATGTGTGTGTGTATGTGTGTGTGTGTGCGCGCTGTTTAACCCCAGAAGAGTTAAATCTGTCTAGTTGGTACCAGATGTATATTTTGAGAACTATCAGCTGCTTTAAAAAAAAATCACTTATTAGAGAAAGAATTGAGATTCTGAGTGGGATTTTTATCTTGTTTATTAATTACTTAAAATCATGGCATACTGTATATTGATGATTTTAAAAGATTACAGATTTGTGAAAGAAATGCAGATTCTCTTATGTTCCTCAAAATGAATATCCTAACAAGGAAAGAATTATTGGTAGAATACAGTCAAACCTCATTTCTCGAATGTCTTCCATCTTCAACAATTTGGTTCTCGATCAGGTTGTTCACAGAAAGAAGGTCTCTGTTGTTGTTGAACCAAACTTCCACCTGACAACCCTTTCATGCTGATACCTCAGTGTGACAAAAAGCGTATCTCAGGCAACAAAGGAGAGAATGCTTTTGTTGCTGGCAAAATCAATGATTAGCACAATTTTAAAACATAAAGAGGCCATCAAGAGTGCTAATGTTGCTAAGGGTGTGAAAGAAACAATGATTAAAGAGGTAGATTTGGATAAAAGGAAAGCAGTTAGCCAGTGACAGCATTTGAGAGGCAGTGATGTATGAACAAGCAAAGATGCTGCATGCTGACCTGAAAGACACCCTGGAATGAGTCCTGAAAGTGATTCCTTTACGGCTAGGAAGGGATAGTTCGACAAATTTTAAAAAATGTTTATTAATACATTAAACTACATTAGGCATATACTGTATATAAGAAAAGTTTTTAAAATGGAATCATTTGGGGGTCTGGAACAGATTAATTCCATTTACATTATTTCTACTGAGAAAAAATGATTTGGTTTTCAAACAAATTGCTGGTTGAACAGCCTTACGGGATGAATTAAGTTCAAGAACCGAGGTGCCACTGTATTTGCTTCTCAGATATTCACAAGGTGGGAGGAGCTGTGTGGTGTTATAGCAGCTAAGGTGGAGAGAATCTTATTTCAGAGAGGATGGAGATCATTGTCCCCCACAAGGAGCCAGCTTAGAAATGCTGGTCTCCAGATACTGAATCTTTGGTCCCTGGTAACCCCTTTTCTTATCAGAAGCAAGCCACAAGTGAGCTTCTGGAGATAGAATGAGCCGGTCTGCATCTCCTCGAGTTCTTAGTTGGGTTTGCTCTTAGACTGGGGGTGGCAATTAGTGGTGAAGAAGAAGTAAGTTTACACTGGAGCTTTTCTCCACCAACCATTTGGAATAGTAAGGCCCAAAACTGCAGAATAAAGAATTTTAAATGCCTAGTGTACGTGATTTTGCCTTTACAATCAAGGCACAGGCTTAAATAGGCCTGAATTACGACTTCTTTCCGTAAATAGCTACTGTTTGAGTAAAGGATGCCCACTGGTCCTGCTCTGTACTGTTCAGGGAGCAGTGCAAGGACGGACCCTGGAGCCCTGCTCTACACCCGGCCTCAGGATCCCTCTGCAAGGAGCCACCTCACTCACTGAAAGAAAGAAATCCCCAAATTAGGGTTCCAAGGCCCAAACAGCCTTAGACGTGGCACAGCTCAGTGCCCATGCTCCCTGCCAGGGAGCTCCCTGAACAGAGAGCTTGACGGATTGTTGCCCACGGGGAAAATCTGAAGACCCTTGAGCTGAGACTGTGATTCAATTTTTAAAGGGAACTTAGAGACAAAAAGAAATTAAGAATATGCAACAGAGACTCTGTGGCCTATAGAGCCTAAAATATTTACTGACTGTCCCTTTACTGCCCCTGCATGAGTAGTCACATTCAAGAAAGGACACACAGAATTCCCCTTAATTTAGGGGTTACATGGGCACAAAAATGTTGGCAAGACAAGTGACCAAACTTCAATTTTAAAATATTTGTTTATGCACCAGAATTTTCATTTCTTAACCTTTCCTCTAGATTATTTTCAAGATCACTTTTCTAATAAACCAGGAATCATGTCTTTCTTTCCCCCCCCCCCACTCCCCCTCCCACTTACACACATTTAAAAAGTGCTATTCAGGAGGGCTCACTGTGCTGTGTTGAAATACCTGCAATCACAAGATCTCACATCCTTTTTCACCACCTTATACCACAGGAGAGAGACGGCCAGGTGCTTTCTCGGTGGTTGCAGGGATGGGTTTCTGTGAGAGACAAGCAGTGGAGAACTTAATTCAGGGGAAGAATTAATGTCACTTAGGGCCGGCCAAGAAGGCTGTAAACTCTGAATACTTGTAATTGAAAGCAAAAGAAATTAGACTGGTGGGTACTTGCTAGAAGCCTTGCCAAAGGAAGACATTCTGTGTTCTGTCTTGGCAGCAGCCACTGCAATAACACTCTGTTCCACTGTCATACTGTGTGCTGCTGCTGTGGTCATACTGTGTGCTGCTGCTGTGAAGACCCCCTCAAGATTTTACAGTCCATTTAAGGAAATCGCAGTAAAAGTACAAACATACTGTTTTGTACCAGTGGTTTTTGCACATTTCACCCCGTACTCCTACCTTTAAGCAGCACCCCCCAACCTGAGGGTAAACCGAAGAGGCTGCTGGTGGCTCAGCTTGGCCACCTTGGAGGCCGAGATCACTTGTTCACCACCTGTTGTCCACACCTGTGCACTCAGGTTGGAAAGCTCTAGATTAACAGATACTCAAATTTTAACTCGGCCTTACGTAGAATTGTTTTCCTTATAAGAAGCATGCATTTCACTTAGCAAGAAACTCAAAAAGGCAAATGTGTTTTCCAAGCTTTAAAAAAAAAATCAGCTTTAGGATTTTGTGTGGTAATGTGCAATTCAGCAAAACTACAAGTAAATTATTTGGTTATTTATTTCTATTTCAGTGTTTTCTTTTTTATGATAATGATTTTCCCTTTCAATAATAAATGACGTGACCAACCAAGGAGAAATCTTTGTTCTGTTATAATGTTATTTTTGCAGTTAGGAATTACAAAAAGAATAAGGGAGCATAAATGTGTTCTGTTTAACGTTTTCCATTTGAGATAAGAATAATTCTCTCTGGGGGATTCTTGTGGTGTGTCACTTTTCATTTATAGTAACCTCACGTGGCCACACTTGCACATTAGTAGGTGTTGAGAATCAAACTGAAAGTCCACCAATGGCCCACAGAGTTGTGTGAGCTTGCTTCCTTGTGATTTAACTAGATTTTTCTGACCTTTGAATCTTGTTAACTGTTGGCAATGCTTAGTTGAACTTGATTCTAAATTCAGTAAAATAAATTATCTGAATCTGAGGGCGCTTGTGCGTTTGCTGTGTCCGGTGTGCATGTGGTGAAGTGCCCGTGTGCATCGTGGAGAGAGGGGTCTGTGTGTCCTGGGCCACAGAAACCAAACACACCACAAGGAGAAGTATTTACCAAGGGAAACAACACTAAGCCATTCATCAGCAATAAAGGTCACACCAAGAAAAACAATGTCTAAGGTATTTGTTGTTGTTGTTAATCCTCACCCCCGAGGATATTTTCCCTTTGGTTTTTAGAGAGAATGGAAAGGAGGGGGAGAGACAGAGAAGGTCACACCAAGAAAAACAATGTCTAAGGTATTTGTTGTTGTTGTTAATCCTCACCCCCGAGGATGTTTTCCCTTTGGTTTTTAGAGAGAATGGAGAGGAGGGGGAGAGACAGAGAAAAACATTGATGTAAGAGAGACACACCAATTGGTTGCCTCCTGCACACACCCTGACCAGGGCCAGGGATTGAACCTGCAACTGGTACGTGCCCTTGCCCGGAATCGAACCCAGGACCCTTCAGTCCACGGGTTGACACTATCCACTGAGCCACACTGGCTAGGGCATGTCTAAAGCACTTTAAGTACCTATTGCCCGGCTGATGTAGCTCAGTGATTGAGCATCAACCTATGAACCAGGAAGTCACAGTTTGATTCCCAGTCAGGGCACATGCCCAAGTTTCAGCCTTGATCCCCAATAGG